CAACAACAACAACAACAACAACAACAACAACAACAGTGCTGGCAATAACGGAGATGGTGACAGCAAGACGAAGAAACTAGAACGCAAGAGTTCGTCCAAGAAAGACAAGAAACGTAGCTCCAAGCAAACGAGTAGTCGGAAACTACGAGCCTCTGATTCTGTGGAAATAACTCCTACAAAGAACAGGAGGAGCCTAAGCAAGCCGGAATAATCATCTATCGATGAAAAGTAAAAGCTCCAAAGGCCAGATACATTGAGTTGTCGAATATGGAATATAAAATAGCGCTATTTGGTTTGTCACAACATGAGTTACAATCTAAACAGCCTTAGCTTTGGAGGGCACATTGACACCAACTTGGCTTCAAAAAAGAAGGAACAACAGTGTTACACAGTCTCGTTCAGCGTTACAGGTTAACAACTGTTTTGATGTTGACGCTATTCTTCATCCATTACAGAATATGCGCCGAGATTAAATCCATCAGCTTGGCTTGTTTATTGGCATAAGTAGGATGATTGGACAACTCTTGGATCACTGCTCGTATTCTGGTTCTGGGGAGGAGATTCTTGTCATGCCCATGCTGCTGCTGCTGTTGTCGTTTTCCAATCCATAATGTCTCGCCAGCAGCAATAGCAGCAGAATCTGGAAATAATAGCGACGTTGGTATGTTTCCTCCTTCTGCCCATAAGGATCCGAGCATAGCAAAAGCAGCCTCGCCAACATCTGAAATGACATCTTCGTCTGCGCCACTCATAATCTGCTGGTCACCATAATCATCACCATCAGGAGGGCAGCTGCATGGTTTGGATTTTATGGAAGAAGTGTCCCACTGTAGTGTTTTTCGATATTGCTGTGCAACTTGATCTTGTACCTTCGGAGGAAACAAGCCATTTCGGGAATCAATATCACCCTCTTCTTGTCGTCGTTGACAAGAAGTTGTTGCTCTCGTCTTTTGTTGAAGATGTTGAAAGCAATGGACGCTCAATGCCACGAATAGAGTCCAAACGAGAAATGTCCGCAACATCATGTGTTCGATATAAAAAAATATTCTTACTGTAGTAATAATGCCACGCAGTTTCATCTGTGCTTCAATATGGTGACATGACGAAAGCATGTCGACGGATTGACTAACTGGACTCGAAACACGATATTCAAATACTGGCAGAACTATGCAGGTAGTACGAATACCATCAGCATCAGCTCTCAACCACTCCTCTAATGAACTTCATCCCATGTTTCCGTTACTGTATATTGCTGCACTACAATTGGATATTTCTAAAGGAGCAGGAGGTCTAGTGGATTCACGCAAGTCAGTACAAAGGCTACTACTACTTGACTATTTTAAAATAAATACTACCTACTAATCTTATCTATTTCATAAATGAAGCAATATATTTAACTCTACTATACTTCTACAACACGATCTTCTATAATCAATCAATCAATCAATCAATCAATCAATCATCACCCTTTACAGATGATTCGTCATCTCCACCTTTTCCAAAAGACTCTTTTGCTTCATGGCAGCTTGCTGGTCATATCGTTGGATTTCCTTTTGCCATTGCAACTCTTGACGACGTTCGTTGACGGTTTGAACGGTGAATCCCTCCTCGAGATCAACCTTGTAGGCAAATCCAGACAAGTTCATCAAGATTCCGACCGTCATGAAGATGTAGAAAAAGTTGACAGTGTAATCCCAAAACTTTTCATTAATGTCGCAGATCTTCTTCCAAGTAGCATTATTGGTAGAAATAGTAGGACTGTTATTATTGGAAGCCTTTTCGGGTTCTTGCTCAGGATCAATGAGAGAAGCATGCAACGCAATGCTGGCTGTCTTGTCATTGGTCAAAGCCAGGAGCTGGTTTCCTTGGGAAAATGACAATGACGACGACGACGACGAAGTGGCTGGTTGAAATCCTTGAACAGTTGATTCTTGGCTCAAAAGAAGGCCAAGAAGGATGAGGAAGAGCGAGTAAGAGATGGAAGAGTACTTCATGATTGTAAATGTATCGAGTCGACGACAAGTAATATGAATAATGTGCTTCTCAGTTGCAGAATTCGTGAATTGTGACGCCGTCATACTGTATCTTCTCTCGACACAAATTCCGACGAACTTGACAGATGCTGATTCGAACTTCAATTTGACGAATACCCTTCTATGTAGGATCCGGGTTCTTTTTGACACAAAAGAATTCAAACCAAAAATGGTGTCAAAAAAGATGCCACTGCTGGCTTCAAGTTGGTGAAAACCGCCAGTGTACTGCTGTCCTACTGTACCGGTACCGGTACCAGTATACTATCATCCGCAGTATCAGTATCAATATCAGTGTCTATGGCGGATTGTTGATTGATTCATCTGCAGTCGTGATTTAAAAAGTACTTTTGCGCTTCAAATTTCCCTCTTGTTCGTTGGCATTTGGACTCGGCGACTAGAACTGTCGTCCTCGTATGAACTCAGCTCTCGGTGAGTTTCCAATGGCTGCAAATTGACGAATCTGGTGTAGTCCAGGCTATCTTCTGGCTGGACAAACCATAGCATTGGTTCGGCAGTGGCATCTGGCATTGCCTTGCCTATTTCATTGCATGCGCGGACAAAGTCAATGATTGCAGACTCCGTGACAGGATGAGTTTTTTCTTCTGCAACCGTCATTTTGCAATGCTGCTATAGTCAGCTTCCCTTGCTTCTTCTTCTTCTTCTTCTACATCATCAGAATACCATCTACCGCTTCAAATGTATCACTTCGCGCCTTTGCAAAAGCAACCAGCTCTTGTTTACCATTCACGACTGTAAGAGCCTGATACTTGAACGTATCGATGTCATCAAATTCAAACGAAGTGATTGAAGACGTAGTTGCATGAAGTAAGGTCAAGACTCGGCGACTACAACTGTTGCTACCACCGTAGTTTGATGGTCGACAAACGAAAACAACAGATCTACAGTATTGTAAAAAATCAATTTGAACTTTGATAAATTTATATTGTGAGATCTGAGAGATGTATAGATACTCTCAGACCAGTCTTTTAATTACTCGTATTCTAGCATTCTGATCTTGATGGATCTTGTAATGACCTTCATTCATTCAAGATTTGATACTTATACTCTAGTTTCCCGTACCGGTATGAATAATGCAACACTCTCTTTTTCTATTGCCTGTTGTTGGACGATAAAAATTGTAGAGTCTGCAGTATCAATAGGACTATTCATACCTCTTGGACTACACGTATCTGCTATAATGTTGCCGTAGGGGTCAACGTTCCTTTTCTTTTTCTTTTCCTTTCTTTTTCATATTGTATGGTACCGTACCTACTATTTTAAAATATACACAATAGCTTACTTGGCATTTTGTTTTCCACGACCAAACCAAGCCCCGATTCCAGCTGGTTTTGCACTTTCCAGTCGTTGAATCAAGACATTCCATCGATCCATGGCAGCCTTCTTGGGAGGAACCTTGCATTCTTGAACAATCGGCAATAGTTCCATCTCCAGCATCCTTTGGGTAACATTGGGGCTCTGCGTCATGTTGAGAAGCATAAAGCATGCCCGATCTTGCACACCCGCGTGAGTTCGGTGATGTTTAATGCCGGACAAGGCCGCCTCAATCCCCCGTTGTTCCATAATGGCTTGCCGGCAGCCCTCGTCCATGGCCAAACGACCCAAAGCATCCAATCCATAGGCTTGAATGGTCGAGTTGGTGACAAAAAAGTCTAGGGTCACCAGCAAGGTTGAGATTCCACCTTGTTCTTCCACCGGTTTGCGATTGTCCTTGTTGAGGCAAATATTTCGGACCGCACAGCATCCTAAATCTTGGACGCGCAAATTCTTGACGTGGGTTCGCATGCACACGAGCAGCAATTCAATCCCCCCCTTGGCCCAAATCGCCCGCTGAAAGTCTTGCGAGTTGCGGGTGACATTGACTAGCAACTCACATCCAATTTGGGCCACCAAGGAATGTGATTTTCCGAACTTGTGCATGGCCTTGAGGATGGAATCCAATCCTCGTTCGCTGAGCAATCGCTCGTGGACTTGTCGAAAGTCTTCGACGTGCTTGCCCATGTTGTCGGCCACTCTTGATGACAAGTGCACCAGCACTCTTAGTCCTTGATATTGGACCCCCAAATGGTCTTCAAAGCGGCCCATGGCGTCCACGACATAGCTGATAAATCCTTCTTCCGAAACCGACATGCCCACTAGGATATCAAAGGGACAGTGCAGCACAATGTGACAGAGTGCCAAACAGGCCGCCTCGTTGATTTCTTCGGATTCCTTCCAGGCCGAAAGGGATTGACAAAATGTATTGACCACGGGCTCTGTAAGATTGGCAGGGGGCAATAGATTGCCCAAGGTCTGAATTCCGTGCAATTGAACATCCTTCTCTTGAGGATGCGTTTGAAGGCCTTGCATGACCAAGGCAATGGAAGGAGCCATGTGTCGTTTGGTCTTGCTGGATGAATCCTTGCTGAGCGCCACCAATGTCAAGTAAGCAGTCGATTGGAGTTTGGAATTGGACATGTGTTTCTTCATGGCTTGAAAGACATGTTGCAGGGCGCCGGAGCTGACAAAAAAGGGTTTGGTTTCGGAGCAGCGGGCAATCTCGCCCAAGACTTGGAGGACCGAACACAAGACGCTGGAATTGCTTGGATGGGCATCCATGGTCTTCAAGAGTCCGGGCAAACTGGGTGCAATCCGTGGAATGCTATCTGGATTGGCCACGATAATGTTATAAATGCCGGCACAACTGGCTTTTTGAATGGCCACATTGTCCACGTGTTCTCCCATGGCCTTGAAGAGACGAGCAATTCCCTTTTTGTAGGCAGGGTCCACTTCGGAGACAAAAAACAAGATGCAGGTACACTCTTCCATGATGGCAACTTCTTCGCCGGGTGGCAAATGGCGCATAATTTCCACAATGGCCGCACCCAGACCGGCCGCGTCATTCGACAAGGGACGCTTGTCGTCCATGTCGTCGACGCGTTCTTGCAACAGAATTCTTAGTCGGCTCAACAGATCGGATTGACGATCCCCGTCTTCCTTTTTGGTCCGACGCAATTTGTGCAAAACGACGGCAATTTCCTTGTCTTTGGGGTTTTCTGGTTGAGTCAGGGTTCCCGCAGCAGCGTCGGCTTGTTGGGGTGGTGGTTGGTTGCTATTATTGGAAGCATTAGTAGCAGTGCCACCACTCGAGGCAAGGTGCCGTACGGACTGACCACGAACACTCTTGCCGAGGGCACGTTTGCTGGGAAGGCGATTGTTGACACCCAGAGGACGGACTTGTTGTCCTGGAGCAGTGGCAGTTGTTTGTCCACCAGCACCAGCACCAGCACCAGCTGAATTGGTAATGGGAACAGTGTCTTGGGAAGAGTCTCCATGACTGGCCAGACTTTGAGACCCAGTCTCGGATTGGCTGCCTACTTCGGACATGTTTTGTGACTTGCTGTCTTGCCTTGTTGTATTGATGTTGTGTCGTGATTGTTGTTGTGCTTGACGTTGTGTCGTGCTTGTACTATAGCAGTATGCCAGCAGTACAGCAATGTCGATTGAGATTGTTATCGCTTATTGTTTGCAATGTCCACAACAACCTAACCTAGATATCCAATCAGCGAAAAAGCAAAAGAGAAAAACAAGCGAGTAGCCTCTTTCTTTTTTTGGGTATTCAAATCAAGTTTTTTGTTCGAGCTACGATTTTTGGGGGTTTTTCTTTGTCGATGCTAACAGTAATTCCATTGACAAGATTGGTACAACTCAATGGAAGCACATGGCAAATGTGGGAATGCTGGCGCATAAATTTTGTCGAAAAAAATGCGCCCCTTCTCTCTATCTTCCGAATCCCGAATCCTCCGACTTGTTCGATCAAAGACGCAGCGACGGACCGACAATGAACAGTGGATGACGTCGCTGCCAACTGTTTTACGCATGGTATATACAAGCATTCAATATTTGATCGAATGAATGAAAAGCAAACGAGTGTTCTTTGAATTTAGGAAGATTCAATACACTTACACGTGTGCACAATAGATTTTAAAAGAACACACACATTTACTCCTGTATCGTCTTGCCTCTTTTTGGAAACGAGGTGAACATCTATTAGATATAAGAGAGAGAAAGAGAGAGAGAGAGAGAAAGAGATTTAAACGAACTCGCAGACCAACACACACACACACAACAGCTCGTTGCTCGCTTGCAATAAGGATCATGAAGCAAGGAAGTTTCTCTCTATGTCGCATCATTGGATCAGGTCTAATGATGACGACGACGACGACGACGATGATGATGATGATGACTATACTGACCATCCAACTCGAGCAGGTCCAGTCCTTTTCCAACCCTCCTCCAGCACTGCTGCAAGGATCGACGTCTTATTCCGTAGCCACAATGCCCCGGCGGGTGCCGTGTACCAGTCTGAGAAACGCCTTGTTTGATGACAACGACGACGATGACGAAGAGGAAGATGACTTTATTGATACCGATTCGTTGGGCGATTGGAGAACCTTTCGACGGAATTTGGCCTTGGAAACACCACCATTGCAAGAATTTGATGATGATGATGATGCTGACCAAGAAACTCCTGCCACTACGGCAGCAGCAACAGCACCCATCAAATCCGTCTCCAAGGCAAACGAAGAAATTCTACTCTCCCAAAATGAAAAGTTGGCGGCCGAGTATTTGACGGGAGTTTGGGCTCATCCAGTAGCAACGGTGCGTTTTGTAAAGTTCGTGTTGTAGTTTTGTAGAGTTTGTGTGTTTGTTTGGAGAATAAGGAGCGTCAGACTGACTCACACTCAATTGTTTTATTTTTGTTGTTGCCGTCTACCACTACTACTACTGCTACTACTTCTACAGCCCGAAGTGGGTGGACTCGTGGCTCGCATGCCCCTCGAAAGTGAACTATTCGCCAATTACAAGCATTCCATTCTGGGAAAGCACCTTTCCAAACTGCTGGACGGCGAACGGGATGTGGATATTTGGTACAAGAGGGCCAAGAAATTGATTCAAGAGGAAATGAAAAAGATTGCCATGAAAGCCGATGAGCAAGGACAAATTGATGCCACTACTTTGGATGAAGTTTCCTCGGAAATGTTGACGCTCTTTTTGGACAATCAAGACAATTGGCAAGAAGTTTGTTTGGTGGTGGAACATGCCAACTCCATCGCCAAGACGGTGGTATTGAATCGGCCCATGGCGTTCAAATTGACCGACAATATTGCCCGACTGGTATTGCAGGGAGCCTTTGCGACGAGATCCAGTGACGATGACGACGACGACGACGATGATGATGATGACGATATTGATGATGACGATCAGAGTGGATACCGGTTAATGAGTACTGACTACTATTCTAGACCATCCGATGCCTTTGCGGATCGCAAGCGCTTGGTTCGATTCATGACAGCCTTTTCTTCCGAATGTGCCGTCTACGTGGGAGGACCGGACAAACAAAACATGCCAGCGTTAATGATTCATGGTATTCCCGACTTGCCGGGGGCCAAAGAAATTAGTCCAGGGAGCAAGATTTATCAAGGTGAGTTATCATAGTCAGTGTCTGATTGATTCAGTTCGGTAGGATAGGAGTTGTGCAAATGACGTGACCGTGTGTTGTTCCAGGAGCCAGTAGGTAGAGTTTGGTCTTTCAGTTTCTGACTTTTGTCTTGTTTTTTGTCATTGTCACTTGCGCAATCTCATTTTATTCTTAGGGGGTATTGAGGCAGCAGTCAGTGGTGTCCTGGAAGGGGAGTACAGTCCCTTGGAGTTTCGCTTTTTCATCGGCTGTCATTTGTACAAGGAGTCGGCACTGGATGTGGCGGTTCGCCTCGGCAAGTACCAACCGATTGCATGTGCAAGGTCACTGGCACTGAAACAGTGCATATCACTTCCCAAGCCACTCTGGCATGAAGGTAAGATGGCAGGGCTGAAAATGAAATTTTTGGACAGTGGTGCACTTATTGAGGGATCAATTTAGTGTTTTTGTTTTTGACGAATTCATGGTCAATCAATCATGAATAATTCTCATCTCATTGTCTGTTTTCCCTTTGCATGATAAATAAATAATAGTCATGGAACTATGTGATGGCGATTTGGGAGATTTGTCGGCATTGGAAATGTCCAGTTCGGATGACGTGCAATTTCAAGTAGTGGATGAAACGGAATTCGAGGACGGGCCTGATGGTGGCTTGGACAATATGGAGGATGAAGATGACGATTTCTACCTTTGAAGTTGATTCATTCATTCATTGATCCAAAGTAAAGCAGAAACCCTGTACACTATTAATATCTATATAGAGAACAAGAAGAAAACTGACACTAGTACTGTAGGAACATTGCTTGCTGGTCTCCCTGTTCCGCATTGAAATATCTGGTTATCTGCAAAGTGGCCCGTCTTCTTTTCCCCGGGTACTTTGACGATGAATTTGCCATGTGGTCAATTGCAGGAACGGCCGGGAAATAGAAATTTAGCATACAATTCTTGGGAGTAAATATTGATTTTCCCGGCCGTTCCAGCGTGATGCGAAACGGAGCTACAAGAAAATTTCCGCCGACTCAATCGACCCAACGCTCGACTTGTTGTTTCTTGTTTCATAAAATTGAAAATACAGTACATGAATGCACACGTGTACACGTACGGCACATTACGCAGACCCTTTACATTTATATTCCTCCTTTCTTCATTGCTCCATTATACCCGAACAATACGATGACGTTTCGGGGATTTATCGGCATCGCGCACCCATCAATACACCGACAAATGCAATGCGATGGTGAATTTAAACCGCATTCTTCTTTTGATTATCGCGATGTCTCAACGTGCCAGTCTTCAAGTCCTTGCGTGTACATCAAAGCGAATATCCATCGTCCGACATGGCCAAGCCATGCACAATCCACGAGCTGAAGTCGCCAAAGCAAATGGTTGCAGTATGGAGGAATTCATTGCGATCATGAGGGAAGATGATTGTCTGGATGCCCCCTTGACCGACCTTGGAAAAGAACAGGCCAAGACTGTCAAAATTCCTACCACGAAGTCCAATTTTGACTTGGTTGTGAGCTCATCGCTGTCACGGGCTTTACAAACGGCGGATGCGGTGTGCCCTCCTTCAATAAAGAATGGATCCAAACGAGTCTGTTGCGAACACTTTCGTGAGGTCAATGGGGATTTGCTGAATGCTAAACGTCGGAGTCGATCTGAATTGGAAAAGCTATTCCCATCTTGGGATTTCAGTCACTTATCGACCGACGAAGATTCACTGTGGACTCCTGAAATGGAAGAATTTCCAGCAGTTGCGGAACGAGGATACATTGGCCTGGATTGGTTGATGAAAAGGCCTGAAGAATCCATTTTGCTGGTCGCCCATGGAGGAATTCTACGATACTTGATGACGATACATCCGCTAATTTCACTGCAAGATGAACGAAAATCTGCCGAGAAGCCGGTGGAGGCCCGATTTGACAACTGTGAAGTCCGACATTATCGCTTGAGTTGGATCAACTCGGACAACATGGAAGAGAAACGAAGGAAGATTGTCATGACAGAAGTTGACCCCTGAGTTTCTAGTAGAGGGTTGAAACAACAAGTCTGACAAGGCGCCGGAGTAACTTCAGACACGGATGGTTCATGACGCCTATATGATAGGTCCAGAAATACTGATGACACGATTCATAAACGAGGAACAAGAATGAATCTCACACCATTTCATAGTTCTAAGAAAGACATAATTATATAGTATATGCTCCGCTGTTGTCGATATTTCTTGTAATATCTGAAAAGGATTGCGCGTTTCTTGTTTCAGACAAGAAGACAATAGACAGAAATCAGTATCTGTGGAACGGCTCCTGCATTGCTGAATGCCTGCCCCTTCTATGACAGATTGGCCATGATGATCTGCCAACGTAAGCACTGTTTCGGCCGGATGGAACGCGCCGTAAACTTCTCGCACTTCCGACACCATAGATGCGGTAGCCATGGCCTAAGAATATGTTTGGAATCACAGAAGGGCCAGACGTCCGTTTCAATTGTCAATACAGAGATAAAGATGCCGCGTTCGAAAGACAACTAACCAATGAAAGGCTGCTACGTCCTAGGCTTGCTTCATAGTCACCACGCAGTCAAATGATTGCACGCAGCTTTGGCTGTACTTGGCCAATTCTTTTTCATCTTGTATTGCTCCAACAAATGATTCAATCTTATCTTCATATGTTGAAAACATCACTGGCCCTTGATTCAGCATCGACAATGTACTTGCCACGGCCTCTTGCGACAAATGCTTCATGGATACAACCACCTTATCTTGGAAGATATTATATCCTTGAAGCTTCTGTCTCGTTTTTGTACGAATGGGCTGCTGGAAAAAGAAAAAGATACCCATCCTCGCAATGATATGCTTCTAGAGCACTCTCATCTCTTCCGATGAATCCCTGTGCGACTTTGTCGTCCCACAAGATATCTTGGTCAACAAAATGTATGGCGACACGAGCGTCAAAAGCGACAGTGGTTCCTTTCGATAAATACTGTGATCGATAAGAGGCTAATTCAGTACTATTTATTCTAACCGGTACAATAGCGGTACATCAATACAGATCATACTCCATCGCTGCAGGTAGCCTTGAGTACCAGTACTGGTGGTACACGTGTACCTGGCACCGATATTTTCCATCTGTCGATATTATCCATTCATTTTGTTTTACGAAACTCTCGGAACAACATCGATATCTTCTTTTGGATCTCATGATCACTGCAATTCACCCATACACCAGTATCTATTTGCTTCAGAAACCGCTCACCTTCAGACGTAAGGACACTGCAGACCTCAGAAATGATCTCCTTTCTCCTACGCCGAGGAGCGATGTCGTACTCACCCTTGTATTTTGCGACCAGCTTTCGGAAGCGGATATTCCCTGGATTGCATCGGATCAAGTGGCCTCGTCCGAGGAAAATATCGCCGTCAGTAGGAGTGACGGGTGCATTCTCAATATTACTCTCTGATTTTTGCTGCTTTTCATGTGCTCCAGCAACCACGCTAGACACTCTTGATTCACTGGTGGGTCCATGAGCAGCATTGCTAACATGCGACTCTTCTGCGCCTTGAACGACTGAATGATGCAAGGTTTCAAAACTAGTCGCTTCGGATCCCGATATCAATGAATCATACGACGTAACAGCATTGACATCTGGTTCCACAAAAGGTGTTTTTTTTCCGCTCGGATTACTCCTGATGGCACTTCTCCGTTCCGTATCAAGGTGCTCGTGGAGCCAATCATTTCGATTGTCCTCGCGAAGCGAGCCCTCTGCATCGATGGGGCTGGAATCGGTGTTGATGCCGTGACTCCGGAGCTGATACTGCAATTCAATATCACTGCCATAATGTAGACGCGATCTCACCTTACAATCATGCGAAGACAACTTAAATACCAACTTGAATAACGAATTGAAGAGGTCAAGCTTTTCTGGACGTGCCTTTAGGCAAAAGTGCACCGCTGTGAAGCGGATGGGAAGGCTTGTGATCATATCCATGATTGCCATTGTCAAGTTGAGTCCAGGAATTACAGGCAGCTCATCTGCTTTCGAAATGTCGTAAAACACGAATACAAGCTGCAAACGACCCAATATTCAGTTGTATTGACCGTACAGCAGAGTTGAGATTGTATGCGGACAGTAAAACCAAAAATCATGATTGGTGCGGGTGAGCCACTTACCCCTTTCATCTGCACTTCGAAAATCGAAATTAGAATGTTGAAGTAGACATAGTAGGCCACTCGGCACAGACTTTCTTCTCTATCGCCCCCAATCAGCTCTGTCAACATGTACATAACTGATCTACCACTTTGATCTTTATCCTTTTGTATGTGGTAGATTCCGGACAATAACAGTTCTCGGTCCTCCTCATTCAAGTCATCAAAAGTGATTTCACGACCAATGCAGCCATTGCCAAAGTACTTGATCTTGTTTCGAAGGAAGTGTAGCATCTGGCTAACAGCTTTGTCAACGTTATGCTTGTTTGATCTAAGAAACTTTAAGCGAAAGGAAGGGTCTTCGATGTATGCTCTCTGGTGGCTCTTTTCAATCATTTCATAGGTTTGTTCATGCTGTTGTTGCTGTTTGACTGTTTGATCGAATTGCGCAAGTAACTCTTGCACAAGTTCTGGGGTTTCCTTCAGGTCTTGTCCGACACAGTGAATATCGTGCAGGGCCTCGGTTCTTTCTTGCAAACTCAGTTTCGTCAGTTCCGATGCAAGAATATCTTCTGCTTCTTTCATTTCTTGCCGCGTATGGCGGCATGTTGTAATAGGTAGTGTTGAGGATTGTGAAGTTGGCTTAGGCCGACCAAGCAAGTTGCAGCTCGAGAGACGTGATGACGGTGACGATGATGATCTGTTTTGGTTCATATGGTGCGTTGTGATGCAACGATTGTGTCATATATGCTACAGAAAATGTGAAAAGGAAATCCGCGGGACTGTGCGGAGTACTGGTAATAAGCTGACTCGAACGATCGTAGCTACCAGAGTTCTCGGGCTCAAGGATTATTCGGTAGAATAACCGCGAGCTACAGTACTATGCACAGTCTCGCAGAAACAAATGAAAAATTCAGAAGGTTTAAAATGTGCATGGAGGTTCTTCAGCACTTCGCCAAGACTGCATTTCATCGTAGCGACCAGTGGATCCAGTACCAAGTGTGTTCCCGTCTGCTCAATGGTGGTCACGCTCACGAGCAAATAAGAGAGGCTCTGTTTTCGGTTCGCTTGGGTTCGACCTTTCGTCTTTTTAGAAAACATTCTATGCAAATTTACCATTTTTATCAGTAATGTAGTGTGGTACCTTCACTTTCCTCAACATAAAACGTTCACTGACGGGAAAACGCATGTGGTAACATCTACTGGTACACGAACGATAAAAGGTGGGTCAGAAAAATCTTGAATTCCTGGTCGGTCGTGTCAAAATAAGCCAACTTCTGGTTCCTCATCTGGAAGCCAATGGAAATATCTTGGGGTACCTGCTCCTGTGACATCTTGTTTCAAGTATAAAAATGGTGCACATTAAACTTGAAACATTGCGTTCCATGTAAGCTTATATCGGTGTAAGGTAGCTAGAATCCTGTAGAGAGGATCAACAACACGGGACTGCTTGCTGGAACTGTCCCTCCTCAACAGACGAAGTCTAGTCGACCCCATCGACACCATTCACTAGCTTAAAACAGTGATAAACCATGCTCAGCACATTTTTGTCGCTTTCTATCTGCCCCAGATAATCTTGGTGTGCTGATTACATGTGCAACCAGACATGATTTGCCTCAAGCAAATCTTCAACATGCGTGCTTCGCGTTTCTGCTTTATTTTTTTCGCTGAGGTTCGCCGTCTTTTTTATTTTCCTTGCAAATTTAGAGAAAAGAAGATACTATACTGATACCATCCAATAAATGGCGGGAAAAACGATAATGTCGGTCAGAAGTCAGAACAATGAATACATGCGGGTCTATTACAACTGCTCTCCGAACACAAAATCTTCTTTTGGATCTCTTGATCAATGCACTTCACCCACACACCAGGAGCAGAGACTGCTCACCTTCAGGCGTGAGGACATAAGGCAGACCTTGGAAACAATCTCCTTTCTCCTACGCCAAGGAACAATATGTCGTACTCACTCTTGTATTGTTTGGCCAGCTTTCGGGAGCGGATATTGCCTGGATTGCATGAGATAAAGCGGCCTGTCAACAATGCGTTGAAGAGTTCAAGCTTTTTCATGCCGTGCCTTGCTTTGGGCAGCAGTGCTTCGCTGAGAAGCTTTTAGTGAGGGAGGGATTATCATCATACATCCATGATTGCCATTGTCTCGTTCAGTCCAGGCACGCAGGCAGCTCGACTACTTTCGAAACGTCGTAGACATTTGCGAGCTGGTGCATTTGAACCATTAAGCCAGAGTACATGTGTGACTACCTAAGCTGGACCATTGATTCTATAAAGGAGATGAGACAGAACACAGACGACTTTCTAAAAGGCCCCTTCAAGACTTATGGTTCCTATAGCCAATGACACTATCTTTGGATATATGTTGCTTCAACTGGTACGAATCATGAAAAGAACAATTTCGAAAGAGTGTGTTGCGTCCAAACTTGTTATTTGGTGGAAGATAGATAGAGTAGGTATAGATGGTACAACTCTACTGGCACTACCATATATCAGGCGATTACTTCCAAGGCAAGTGTACACTATAAGCATGAGAGCAATGCACTGTTTCGTCCTCTTTCAGCACACAAACTGAAAGCGAATCCTCGCAAAGCGCTACTCGACTCTATTACAGTAGCTAGTGATGGAATATTCATCTGTAGCTAGCATGCGTGGGCTTTCATATTGCTGCGTCTCAGTTACTGGCAAAGTGCAGTTATTTACAAGCCTTCTCTTGGTTCGTCTACAGGTCCAGTATATGGCAGCCTGTAAAATTCGACTACAAACTCCAAATCTTCTGATAATGACTTGACTGAATGTTTTATGTTTGGCTCGATGATACCTGGGTTGGAGGCGTTCAAGACAAACGATTCCTCTCCAATATTGTATTGCAGTTCACCCTTGTTGAGGCGAATGACTCCCCATGTGCCATCTTTGGTAGAGTGATCCTTCAAGAGTCCCGAAGGAATAAAATCGTTGGTGAAATGTGAATCAAGAGATGGAACTTGAGAATATTTCTTCATTTCTGGTGGTAGCTCAGGCATGGCCATTCGCAGGACGGATCTAGATGATGCCGTTCTTGATGAATGGCGACGACGAGGATTGTGCAACAGTGCTCCAGTAAAGGCTGCGATGAACGACAGGTCCATTATCAACAGATAGTTGGAGATTTTCATTATCAACAGAGCCACAGTCTAAGATTTTGAATAGAAATGGAGGGGATGTGAAAGGATATAAGTGGCTGCCAGTGTTGTTGTTGCAGGTGTCAGCGTCACAACCACACGCCGATGCTATATTTTATGCGACATGCTCAATGCGGCCATCCATCAAAGATCCATATTGAATATGGTATATCCAATCCCCAAACCTGACCCCCCAAAGAGCTCCTTCTCCAATATTTTTTATGAATACGCATATTTGTGTGTAATATAGTATTCAATATAATATGTGCTATAGAAAAATAAAGGATTTCTCATATCAAAATAACTGCTGTCACAATACTGTACTGGAAAATCAATATTCACTCCCAAGAAATATGCTAAATTTCAATTTCCCGGCCGTCCCATGTGATCACAAATATAGAAGGAAGATGAACCATGCAACGATAAATCCACCATGCTAGGCGGATATTGACAGGGAAGTGCAATATTCGTACTGTACTTTTGGCCTTTGGCATAATAGGCTAGCTCCTAGAAAGATCAAATATCTTTTCAGCGTTCCTATGGAATGAGTCAGTCATTTCAACGTCCGAAAAGAACAAAACACCTTGGAAACAACTTCATGACGTGTTTGCTTCAGGCTGATCCAGACCTTACTTTAGAGTATCCACATGATGCTGAAGCGCACTTTAATGAAATTCGTGATGCTTTGCGGCCTTTTGGCTCCAAGGTATTGGGAATCACATAATGCACGAATATGCTGGCTATGCTGGTCCTTGGATCATTTCTCTACTGGCCTTGATGTGGCAAACAAAGGAGAATCCAGAGTAATGGGACAAGCATTGTCAGAGCGTTTCGGACCATTTATACATGGGTGAACAGAACAGACTTCTTGCTTTTGAATGCTACAATTGCTTCGTTATACTAAGACAAAATGTGGCTTGTATAACGATGTCTCAAAATGATGTTGGGCTGCTATGCGCGTATCACCGTCCTAATGTTCTTGTTTTATCGGCGGGAGGCTATGGTCATGTAAACATCCCACTCACTAAACAAGAGTTGCCCCGAATGAACCTCCGCCCTCCAAACGAAAGAGGGTCAATCTTCAACTACGCGGTCTACCGTAGCCCACGCACCGAGACATCTGAGGGAGAGAATGAACAAAATACTCTTGGCAAGGAGTGACAATTGTTCACACTGTGAGTTTCGACGCTTCTACACTTTCTACCAAGGAGAACACTGGACAAACACTATGGCAGATTCGCTATTCGCTGTGGATTTGGACGGACATCGTTTCATGTGACAGAGAGCCTTCAAATGGGCTTGATTCCTGTCCAAATATAAAGCGACATCCCATGGATTCCATACCAAAAGCTCCTGATGGGTGGTTCCAGCCCTGCTGTCTACACTACGAACTTGAGCAATTTGATCCAAAGGACAATCGACTTGGAGAAGGTACCACTGGACGTGATTCAGAAGATAAGGAAGATAGAATCTTAATGCTTCGAGAGTCTCATTTTCTTGTACCTGGAATTATGGCCCAGATCCAAAGACTAATGGTTGGACATGAAACCGATTTGGAATGCAACCAGCTTCCTAGTAGCTATAGAGATGCAAAAAGGCCTGGTGAAATTGTTCCACCTGATGTCATTTAGTAGTATAGCCCTCGCTTTGAAATACATGATGTCAAAAGTGAATAAATCATGTTGCCATAACACATATTATAAAATGAGAGACTAGGTACTGTCTCTAGGAACCTCAGACATTCGGAAAAAAATACTTCGAGTCCTCTTTGTTGTGATAGAATGCTCAGGCCCTAAGCTCTACAAAAAATCTATCAAGCTTTCCCCACCGCTTCTTTCTTCTTATACTCGCTGTATGCGTTTATACCTGGCAATGACGATTCGGCTCCAATCTTCTTTGCAAGATCCCCTTCGTTATAGGCATAAGGTTCATAGACTTCGACGAGATACTTATTTCGTTCCTTCGCCACAAAACAGTATGTACTCATACTGACTTCATTACGGTCAGAGGTGGTGACCTTGACAGAAGGGCGCTGCTGAATTGTCTTGTACCAGGTGTGGACATGAGACAATTTCTTTGGAATGACAAATCCACGATAGTGACCCAACAAGATGATCAGTCGTTCGAAAAATGGAAATATTGCAATATCAGCCATTGTGAATTGTTCGCCGCAAAAGTAGGGACCTTTTGACGCCTTCAAGTCCTCGTTCATCTCTGAAATTTGCTCTATCAGAGTTTTTGCGAAAGACTTTTGCTGTTCGACAGATTGATCCATCAAAACCTTGTATATCGTCGGAATGAGAGCACTATGCTTTTCGATCATAGCATTCATGTAATCCTTTGACTCTTGTTTTTCGGGCTTCAAGGGATCGTTGGAAAACATTGCATCGACCTTTTCCACAACATCCATCGACTCTCCCGTGGCTTGGCCGCCCATCGTGTTATCAATGATTACTGGGACTGTCTTGAACCCCATAGAATACAACCACCCAGTTCCTCGGTCTTTCTTAGGTCCAAGGAAATAGCACACGTGGACGCTCTCAAAGAGAACAGGATCGTAGGGATTTTCTTCCTTCTCCAAAAGCGCAATAAGTGCTCGATTTGCAAATGGGCAGAAGTCTGCATGTAACAGAGTCACCGGATAAGCAGGATTTGGTTGAAACGTTTGGGTCGAGAAATCGACTGATGCCACTTTTGCGAGAAGGTCTCCCCTTCTTTTGCTTCCTGCGGAGTTCAATCCTTTGCAGATTTGGAAACATCCTTGAAACGGCATCGTCAGTATATTATAAAGTAACAGCAACGCCCTATTACATGGACAATAATTTTGAACTCTGGTGTTGAAATTGTTTTGGCCCTAAAAATATGATGCACCATAACATATTGCCACGTCATGAACAGAAAACCAGATCCCCTTCTTTTACAAGCCACAAGCCCCAAGAATACAAATTAGCGCTACTTATGTACTATGCAGTAGATACAAATACAGTACCATTTTAGATTCATAAAATGCTTTGTGGTGTTTTCCTACTATAGAAATGCATCCCACGAGCACTTAATTCCTTTAACGGTCGACTGATGTTGGACTGGTCGAGCAAGCAATGTAAGTCAAAGAAAGGCAAATCAATTTGGTTCTCGGACTCTTCTCTCGCTACCTTAGAAAAGGGATCGACGTCGCCTGCTAGCCGGAAAAGTAAGGCAGTATGTTCATGGGGGGCCGCGCAGTCTACAACGACAAGTTCAAGTCCAAAACTTGTCTAAAACTCTGTCTGGCTCGGAGGTCCACCTTCTTCCTGGTACAATCTGAATACGTCCTGTCAGTTCTTCACGCAGATACAGTCTCGTTCGTACTTGTTCTTCGTTCTTTTGCATCCAACAGAAACTTGGCCCAGTGTCTTTCGCTGATGATCCCCCCTCCTAAACAGTTGGCATCGTCTGAGTGATAAAAAACAACATACTGTCCAGGGGCTAGCCCGCCATCCTTTTGGGCCAACTTGATGATGCCGTCATTATCTTCCAATAGCTCTAGGCTCCCAACTACAAGCCTTGGTCCGTGACGAATCTTCATGTCGAACTGAAATGTCATTCCATCTCCATCATTGCTTGGTGGTTCTCCCGCAATCCAGTGGATGTTCTCGACGTGAAACTCGGACCGTGACTGTGTAAAGATCTCTTCATCATATTGATTGCTAGCGTAAACAACGTTCTTCTTTGGGTCCTTGGCAACAACATACCATGGGCCTTTTGCTGTTGCCAATGGAAACAAGGACCTACCAATTCCTTTCCGTTGTCCCACGGTATGGTACCACACACCTTTGTGGCGACCAATTGCTTCGCCTGAAAAGGCATCAATGATATCTCCTTCCTTTTCCCCAAGGTGAATATTGAGAAAATCACTGAATTTGACCTTTCCCAAGAAGCACAAGCCTTGAGAATCAGGTCGGTGACGATTGGGCAATTGGAATTCTTCTGCGAGTTCTCGGACTTGCCACTTTTCCAAGTGCCCAATCGGAAATAGAAGCTTTTGGAGTTGAAACTGTTGCAAGGCACACAAAAAGTAGGACTGATCCTTGACCGGATCGGGAGCACGACGCAAGCGGACTGTTTCGGAATCTTCCTCGTCACCGTCAGCTTGATTCAAAGGGGAAGCCTCCTTCGTCCTTTGCACCTGTGCATAGTGACCACTGGCAATAAAGTCAAATTCCCCCGTTCGTTCGTCTGCCAGATAGTCCAAGAAACACCCAAACTTGACTCTCGAATTGCAGAGAATATCAGGATTCGGAGTCCGTCCCTGAGCAGCTTCGTTCAACGTGTGTTGCATGACTCGTTCGTGATATTGATCTTGCAAGGAAATAATTTCCAACTCGACCCCTGCATGATCACACACTTGTTGACAGTTATCCACATCATCTTCCCAGGGGCATTCACCCAAATGGGCCAATTCGTCCTCCAACCAAATCTTGAGGTAAAAGGGAGTCACAGAATAGCCTTGCTGTAGCAATAGGTGCAAGGCTACTGAAGAGTCCACGCCACCAGACAATAATAAGGCCACCCTTTTGGCTTGGCCATTCACTGTCGTCTTCTGATGGTTGGTAGATGGTGCAGCGTCAGCTGTTTCTTCGAGCAACGACGACTCTGGTGACGACGACAACTGTTTCTGAATGACCTGTAGCATATTGGCAATTCCGTCATTGCGTCCCTGTGACAAGGCCTCTCTGACTCCCAATTGATCTGTAATGGTACTGGGATCCAATGCCAAGACTTGTTCGACAGTCTTGGTCGAAAGATGTTGGCTCAACAGATTCAACAATCCTTTACTAACAATCGCGTCGGAATTGCCTCGGACTGATACCAAACCGGAATCATCATCTCCAATTGCCCAAACATGGACTGTAGCGACACATCCTGGAACTTTGGAGTCTTTCTTGTCAATGCTACGAAACTCTTCATTGTGAAAGTCAATCTCCTGTTTCCATGACATTCCAAGCTGTGCCAGTCGTTGTTGTATCTGCTCTACTGTCTCTTGCCCTTCAGTACACAGTTCTGCATCTTCGTTTGATAGAAATATTCGATTCCCAACATATCTACAGTGTCGCTCGTAGGAGCATGAGGATGGTGGAAGGTGCCGTTGATGAAGGGACGAAGCACCTGGGACTTGCGACTTCAGAAATGCTGAAGTGAACAACAGAGGATTCATCGACAATAGTAAACATGATAGGAGTACTGTGAAAACGAATGGTATTTCGTAGGTCAGCATTGTCCATATAGTCGGTCCCTACTGATTTGGAAAGTTGGGGTTCACTATCAAATGAGGTGATGTGGTAATGGTTGGCGTTGAGATATACCGGTAGTTGGAATATTGATGGGGAAGAATATACGGTATGTGATCTGTCCGTGCAGAAATCAATCAGTGGAGGGATGGTGCGCGGCTATGCGCGAGCTTTCTCAAAACAATTGATTCGATGCGAAGTCTTCCTTCGCTTTTGCACTTCCATCCACCACACCCACTCGATCATAGAAGCTCTCATATACAACTCTTGTCTTTCTCAACAATAGTGAAACAGAAACATGTTCCAGCAAGCCATGAAATCACTTCGTAGGACGATGATCAAAGGAGTCCTCGCAGTCGGAGCGATAGAAGTCACGACCCACTTGCCTACCGAGGGAAGATCCGCCGAGGTGTATCATTTTGTCTGCGACGAAATGGCCATGCCAGTGATACGGAGATTCATCAATCCTGAAGATGCTCATCACTTGGCCTTGGCTGTTGCCCAGTCAGGTTTGGCTCCAACTTATCGGCCAACAGCACAAGAACAAAAAATTGATTGGTCGATGCCTAATTTGTGGATAGAAGACGATAAATCAACAAAGGATTCAAAGTCGATGGCTCCTCCAAATTGTATAGGATTGGCAGCTGGATTCGACAAGGATGCTGCTGCAATTCGACCCCTGTTTGATATGGGGTTTGGATTCTTGGAAATTGGATCAGTGTGCCTAAAGTCACAGCCAGGAAATCCAAAACCGCGAATGTTCCGACTTGTTCCAGATGAAGGGGTTATCAATCGATATGGATTCAATTCGCAAGGTGCTGATGCTGTGGAAGCGAACCTTCAGGCATACCGCAGTGGCGGTGTTGATAAGACGAAGGAGGACTCCACGTCAAACGAAAAATCCTCCTTGTGGTCTGTCGTTTCCAAGTTTTTGCAAAATAATGGCCTGGATAAGTTTCTACCTAGGTCATCCGACGAACAAGCCGTCCAAGGATTGTTAGGTATCAACTTGGGAAAGAACAAGAACTCAACTACGCCGACGGAAGACTACCGAACGTTGATTCAGCAACTGGGACCGTACGCTGACTATCTAGTAATCAATGTCTCATGTCCCAATGTCGATATGAAGAACTTGGGAAAGAGCACTTCTGCTATGGAAGAACTGTTATTGGCGTGCCAAGATGAACGGAATAAAGTACTTCAAAACCAAAAGGGGAGTAAGAAGAAGATTCCGTTGCTAGTGAAACTTTCTCCCGATTTGACTGACGGCGAACTGAAGGATATTTGCATTTGCCTCATGAAGATTAAGATTGATGGAATCATCATGAGCAATACTACTTCCACACGGCCCAATGGTTTGCTCTCCTCGTCCTCCATTGTGGCCGAACGAGGCGGTTTGTCTGGGAAACCACTGAAGGAACGATCGACCGAGTGCATTCGTAAGGTCTACCAATGGACTGATGGAAGCATCCCTATCATTGGTGTTGGCGGGATCTTTACCGGTAGCGATGTCTATGAAAAACTAAAGGCGGGCGCAAGTATGGTGCAAATCTATTCGGGTATGGTCTATCGTGGACCTGGGATGGTTTCGAAACTACGCCACGAGCTGTCGGAACGGATGCTGCAAGATGGATACCGACGATTGGATGATGTGATTGGCTTGGATCACGAAGATCTTTATTGGAAACGGAAGAATTACAAGCTAAACGCCTAAGTTATGAATCGTACTGTATAGTATCAAACGCTAAGGATTGATCGGCCGCATGGATGATTTTGGTATTGCTTTTGCAACGATTTTTTAAGTTGTAGTGGATGCTGAGGATAGGTTTCACTATACTACTCTGGTTCCAATAGCAAGCCGCTTTTAATAGCATAGCTATGTATAGTTCGACGTCTATTGAATGTGATTGGGGCTTCGTCGCTTTGGTTGGTGCTTATTTGAATTGGAGTACTTTACATAGTCTCAATATTGGATCGGCAGCACTGCTGAATAATTAGATTCCGTTTTGATTGATCTCATTCATTCATTTGCTTGCTATTTCATCCATTCTTTAGTTGGCGCGCACGCATGTCATTAGTTTCACGGTCTAAAAAGTCTAACAAGAAATAAATATACAGTATATTATCATACGGTGTAGTTGGCAAGTAAACAGCTAGCAGATACCTGCGATGTACCCCGAAGATTCTACTCTATGCCTTGCTGTACCGTGTCCTTGGCCAAAGTCCTGGTAGAGATTTTCACCCCCTAAACGGCCACTTCTTTAACTTGAGAACGAAATGTTGCTGCCAAATTTTCATAACCTGCACTTTTTCTGATACGACCATACCAACATGACAGCACCGCTTCCGGTCCGCTCAGCCATGTTCGGGCCTGGTTAGTACCCCTGGTACTGGTACTGAGTGGGGACTATGGTGGGGGACCACGTTGGAATCCCAGGTGTTCTATCCTTTTGACTTTTGAATGACATCACAGTCTTTATGTATCCGTTTCTTGTGGGAGGAAGATTCTGCTGTTACCTTTTCCTCTCTAAAATCCTTTGTTAACATTACTTGATTAGTCTATGTTGCCATTCCATAGCAAAGATAGTTTGAGACAAGCATTTTTTTGGATGTAATGAAGCAAGCATCCTAGTGGAGGCTTGTGAGCTGTCTCGCCTGCATGGCTGGCGGCAGAAGGGTGACTGAGTTTTGAATTCCACTAGCTTGGAACAAACTTCCACCTTGCCCGTTCCTCCACATTTGTTTCAAAAGTTCATTATTCCTGTCCAATAAGACGTCGGTATCTTCGATGAAGCAGATATCGTTGCCAGCAGAGATGACAATTCCACAAAAGCCAATGACGCGTGCGTTTGACGAAACTGGGTCTAGTCACTTGGACTTCGCCGGAGCACCGTCATTTTGTGAAGTCCATCACCTCTAGTATTCGTCATCAAAGTCGGAGTCCGAACCTCTGTTCTCGTCAACCTTTCGGCCACTATCCGAATCAGAATCAGAATCATTCTCTTCCTCTGAAGATTCAATCTCCTGGTCAGCCATTGCCCAATCCAAGTCACGCTCTCGCGATGTGCTTCTTTTTCGACTGTAAGTGGTTGCTGCTGTTCGATGATGACGGGGTGCAGTGAGTGCTGTTTTGGGCATTTGCATCAAAACGCGGTTGCGAGTCTGACGATCCTGAGCCACCTCGGTGGTAGGGTCATAGTAATCTTCGTCGCGTTCGTCGGCCCAATCTGAGAAGGTCGAAGCCATTTCCAGGCCTCCTGAAACGTTGGAATCCTCGTCACTGCTGTCCTGGTAGTATCGGTTTCGAGTAGATTTGGCGGAACGGTGTCCTTTCTTTCCTTTGTCGTCATCTACATCACCATATTCTGCATCCAAATAGTCCCGGGCGAGATAGCTATTTTGCTGCTTGTTCTCGCGGTACCAAAGACGATTCGATCCGTCATTGGCTTTGGACCGAGCAGTGTACAGCTTGTACACCGCACCGCCTCCCACCATGACAACCAGAAAGAAATAGCCCAGCACAGAGTGGCCATCGTTCAAGTCTTCGTCCTTTCCTTTGATCTTCTCGGCAGTGGGAGTCCTGGCTTTGTTCTGTTTAGCCTTGGCATCTTCGTCAAGCTCAAAGGCTTCCAAGTTCTCAAATTGATTGACAGCCATTTCTTTTTGTAGCTGCCCCAAGGTCTTTTTGGCCGTCAGTGCGTCATAATTGTCCGATGGCAAAAGGAAGTCTTCTAGTTTGTTTCCCTTCAGATCTTCGCATCCTTTCTGAGTTTGGAAGAGATCCAATAGGATATCAGTATCCTTTAGTTTTGAATAAATCCCATTGGGATCCTTCATGTTACAGCCTTGCCACAAAGTACTCTCGTGAAGAATGTAAAAGCCATGATCGTTGCGCAACTTTTCTTCATAGGCACAGTCACGTTTGCGAAGAAGAGTCTCCAGTTGGTCCAACTGTGATTCATCAAGACCATCAAATTCCTTGTCAACAGCGTTATTGTGGTAGGTCTTGTTGAATCGATCAGCGACAAATCCACCGTTGCAGTCGGTCCCTCCCAAAATTTCACAGGCAATAATGTGAGAGGAGTCAGTCCCAAGATCTTGCGCGCCAACCATGTCAATCAACACCACGTTCCAGCCAGTTTCGTGCCGAATAGTTTGGGCCAATCCCAGCGGGTTCATACCAGTGTCAAGCATTTCCCAGACCTGGTCGTAGTCGTCGCATAGGAATTCTTTGTAATCAGGCTCTTTGTCCATATGTTTCCAGTAGCTAATCCATTGCTCGACTCGTGGAGTCCTATAATTGAGAATGACCCAAACGTCCTCTTGCTCGGCTCGCAGGAAATTGACGACTCGTTCCATGGCATCCAAACCGTTTCTGCGTGAAGATGGAGTCTCTCCAATCCTATCAAACTCTTCTGTACCAAGAATAATACCCTCCCCAGCCCTCCCATAGGCTTCTCGAATAGCCGTCATGAGGAGATCTTGCTGCTTATCATTGTCAGCATGAGTCACTAGGTACTGGAATACCTTGGGTCGTTCGAAATTGGCATTCTTCATTCCCAAGTCTCCTTGCACTCGCGGCCATGCCCAACCGGCCAGTGCCTTGGACGTCTTGGCATTATTGTATCCAGAGGCAAAATTGTGATAGAATTGTTCCACGGAGGAAGCACCCGTCTGATGAGGTCCCGCAAACAAAACGACTTGCTTGTTGGCCTTGCCGAATGGAAGGATGACGAACGTCAAGAGTAATATCGTCAGTGTTGTGACAGAATGGTGATGTGAGGTAGACATCATTCTTTTCCTTGGGATTTATGTGGAGACAGATTACTGGTCTTTTTCTTCTTGTTGTTGTTGCCTTTTCCCTGGCGTTCCCTTTTACTCTTGTCGGCTTTTGGCTGTTATATTATGATTATTAGCATGAAGCACAATATTAATTTCTATTCGTAGTTTTCTCACTTGCATGTTTGTCATCGTCTGTTCTTGGCACGACTTGATGACCGATGGTCATCGACGACCAGTACGATTAAAGAAAAGTACCCCGAATACTACGAGTAGTACATATCAGCCGCCGGCTAAAGTAGGAATGAACAAAGGTAGCTACAGTACTGTACTGATTGAACCCAAGTTGGTTTTGCCAAACTTACATTGTGATTGTCTCATATATACTATAATTTCAGGGTTTTACATGATCCATATTCCTATTGTCGTGTTTCGTATACAAAAGTGCTGGAGAAGATAGAAGGTCCGCTGGTGATTACTAGCTATTAGGTACAACAAGATCAACGTCTCGTTTGGCATTGGATTAGATTGGTAAGATTGTCTATTGTATATTAGTATCTACGTCGGAAACCTATCTACCATATAGACTACTGCTAGCGTGTGTTATGTGTGTTATGGATTTGTGCTTCTGTTGCGTCGTTGTCCGCGTTTGCCTCGTCCAGCATGGAACCAGTGATTGGACAAAACACAACAGAAGTGCTGGGGACTGGAGCAGCATCATTTGCATTGAGTTCGTCAGCAGCATTATTGTTGCTGACACCTTGAGAAGGTGGGCTTCCAGATCTTGTTGTTGCAGGAGTCAAAGAGAAAGAAGCCTTTGCGAAACAAAACAGAGCTGTGCTTGGTTGTTGTCCGTCAGGAGACGGCTTCATCAATCGGCGACCCTTGATTTGAGGAGTGGGACTGTCAAGAGACGAGGCTGGAACTCGCTTGAAAGTATTAGTTCCACTGGTAGTTTTTGCAAATAGCATCGATGCTTCTGTGGGTACTCCTTGAGTGGGGTGACCCAAACTACTAATGAGATCACTGTTACTAACCGGGGCGGGAAGGAAGGGAGAACGCCGGCCAGTGCTGTGTTGGTCCGAAGCCGGTTTCTGATCTCCTGCTACTAAAGGAGAGGGTGCATCTGGAACCAATAGCGACGACTGTGTAGTGGAGGCTGGAATCATAGAAAGAGTCGGAGCTCGACCCAAGTCGTCATTGGATCCAGGGAGCTCGTTTGTTCCGGTGGTGTCTTGGGAATTTTGCGAGTGTGGTCGAAGCTTTTTCACCACAAATGAGTTCAACCTCTTTTGAGCATCAAGTTCCGTATCACGGACGTTGGATACTTCCTCCAAGAGATTCGCCTCTCTGCTCTCAAGCTTTTTTGCCTCTACAGCAAGACGTTTGTACTCCTCAAGAGCGTCCCCGGCATTGTTCTTGAAAGGCTGTCCTTGCTCTCCGTCTGGCAAGTTTTCTCGTTCTTGATTGCTTGGAGTGAATGTAGAGGGTAACATCCGTCCTTGTAGTTCTGAATTGGATGAACTGCCTCATCAGAGCCCGGAGTCTTGCTTGTGTTGGTTGTGGGAGACGACGGCACCAAGTTTGCGTTGGTGGGATCTTTTTTGCTGTGCTTCATGGCGACCGGTTGCGTGCTGCATTTCTTGGTTGCCTTCGTAGCTTTCTCTCTTCTTTCTTCTAGCTTTGACCTCAAGCTTGGTGTCTTGCTCTCTTGTTTGACGCGCTGTCGTTTGAAAAGATAGAATAGTCCAAGAAAAAATGATGGGAAATCAATCAAATTCCACAAGATTGCAAATTTCGAAATCACCATGTCTTCGGAGCACTTCATTCCAGAAGCTTGAACATAGTCGATCAGTCTTGTCTTTCCATCGTTTTCATCTTTTGTTGAAAACAGATGTTTCACAACTGGTGAACTTGAATTGCTCTTGACTTTCTGAGGAGTCACACGTCCCTTTTCTCCACCAGAAGAAGAACGTCCCATAGTCAACGAATCACTCACTCCTTTGTAGATAAGGCAGTGCTGTTCTTGACGTATTTCTTTTTGTTGCCTTTTGTGATTGAATGTTAGAATAAAGCAAAATGTGCTCTATCGTGAGTGCCTTTAGCGCTCAGAACAAACTCTCTGCAATCTAAATTTGTAGTCGACTATACAACACTTTCACGACAATAGTTCTCCTGTGTTAGGTATACTTTGAGTGAAATTGTTCCTATTTCATTAATGTTTGGCTTGAATTGATGATTCAAGTTCAACAATTTTCCCTTGGAAAATCCCTTGTTTACAGAACTCGATTCGACTTCTACGAGAATTCTGTGTTGAATGCAGTACTTTGGGACATCTTGCATTATTCCCTACTGCATCGTACACAACATCGATATTTCACTCGTATAGGGTCTTTCCCTTTTTGTGAGGATACAGATTGTCCGGCAGACTTGCGTCCGGCAGACTTGCGTCGAATCCCGACATCACGATCAAAGTCCAATCGTACGTGTCGAAAACTTCGTACTTGAATAGTTTCGTTTGGAACGTAAAAACTCATATTTCGTCATATCCCAACATGACGTCTCAGTCTCGTCAGCGCGAGCATGGGTTTGGTTCTACATTGAGAAGATCCACTTCTTAAAAGCTGACAAAATAAAATGGCCCAATTTTGGTGATGATGTTTGGGTAATTTCTGTTGATGACCAGCATTGCTGGAAACAGGAACCCTGGCATCCAGAGTTCTCACAAGATCCGGAGCAGTTTTCTCATTAAAAAAAACGCTACGGGCTGGGTATACAAACTTGGTTTGTCACTGTCGGACTCGCTTCTTGTCTGAATGAATGGACCGTTTTGCGCAGGAATGAATGACCAGCAAGATTTTACCCAGGAAGGGGGGTTGAGAGATAAACTGAAAGCTTTGGGACAGATAGCAATCACCGACAAATGGTATTCTGGACCTCAGGTGTCAATTATGATTCGAAACAAGTCAAGAAATTCAAATCGAGAGCATGTTTGAGGACTGAAAAATTCAATGGCCGGTTGAAAGTATTTGAGTGTCTCAGTGGATTGTTTTGGCACAAGGAAAATCGGTTCAAGCACTGCTTTGAAGCTGTTGCCGTTATCTGTCAATACGAGATGGTACATGACAAGCCTTTGTATGATATTCTGATACCGTCAGTGTTGGATGATAGCAACAATGAAGATCATGTCTATGACAGCTCAGGTGAAGAATCCGATGGTGACTCAACATAATACAAATACCATTAAATATAAAACTCTAGCCAATTCAAGTTATCTGAAGTGATTACTATGGTGACACCTGACACCCTTCTCTTGATTTGGTTCTTACTATATTATCGTGACTGATGCGACTGGTATAGAATGGTGTAGAGCTCAAGGCTTCTTCGTGTTCTTGGCGGCGTGGAACCTTGCAAATGCTTCCACACCCATACTCTTCTGCGACTGTGTTGGCAGTTTGCCCCGCTTCACGGCTTGCATTTCACCTCGAACTACGGTCCAAAGCATGAAGTCATTTACAACGTTTGTTGATATACCGCACTTAGCTGTGAATGTAGATTCGACCTGGTAATAGGATGGAGGAAGGTTTGATTCCGAATTCGCAGTCAATCCTTTCATACTCTAGGACTTCCTTGTTTGTCCGTCCCCCAAACAAATCCACTTCTGAGCCATCCCCTCTGCCGGGTGTTTCAGATTGATCAAGAGTGATGATTGGTTAGTTGAAACGTACGACATACAGCCGGGTTTCATGTTTAGTGTCGCGGACCTCACTGCTTTCGTACGAGAATTGCTCATCACTGAAACTTGACAGAAGCCATTCTCCTCAACATGCAACGGACTCCGGCTGGTGAAACTGTTATTATTCCCAGGAACTTCAAGCTACTTGAGGAACTCGAAAAGAGTGAAAAAGGTTTGGGTGATATGGCGATATCCTTCGGTCTTGTGGACTCTGGAGATACTTTTCTGAGTGATTGGAATGGAGGCATTTTGGGTCCTGCTGGGGTATGTTAATTTTCGTATTGCTATTTCTTGATTTACTGCATTTGATTGGATTTTAGCTAAGTCTATTTCATTTCTACATCACATCCTTAAAGACCCACCATGATGGCCGCTTCTACCAATTGCACGTTCACTGCTCCGAGCAGTACCCTGCCGTTCCTCCTCAAGTGAAGTTCGTATCAAAGATCAACATGAACTGCGTAGACTCGAAGACTGGCACAGTCAAGAAGGAAAAGTTACCGGCGATGCGGAATTGGAACAGAAACATGGGAATAGAGCAAATCTTGCAATCAATTCGCATGGAAATGTGTTCTGATCAAAATCGGAGATTGAGACAACCGGCTGAGGGATTGACATTTTGAGTCCATGGTCGTCGTCCGTTTCTCCCCAACGCAATCAAAATAATGATGCAATAGGAGTGGGCTCCTGAAATGAAGTGGTTGATGGGCCAAGAGAAGCTGAAATTTTTTTGTTAGCAGCAATTCTGGAGCTGAATAATCTCTAAATAATGTATCATAGCTCCAGTTTTTCAGCAGCTGCCTGCCCTAGTAGAACTAAAAAAATGGCAACTCAATCAATCAGCTTTTTATTACAACTACGTTAGGAACGTCCAAAGCTGGAAAAGGTCCTCCATAATGAATTGTTGTAGAATTTTTGTTTGATGAGAATGGCTTTTGAATGCGAGCTGGTCAGTGGCTAGCAAGCGAAACAATTGTTGAATCAAACTCGGTCATTACTATTATAAAATGGAGGAGTACTGTAGCTTACAGTACGGATGATTTGAAATCTATGATGTCTCCAAATCCTGTGTAAAGCATGGTACTTCTTGTATGCACCAATAGATTGATCTGCATAGCAGGAAGTTGTGTTTAGAAGCATTCTCACCAGCAAAACCTGCCATTGTGTGTTTAAATATGTCACACTCACTCATTTGCTCAAAAACTCCAGTCCAATAGGGATATTGTCAGCCAGTATTTGGAGTATATTTGTGGCTCTCCCAGAGAAGGATATTGGGAACAGTAGTCAAACTAATGTAGGAGCTCTGACTAGAGCTTTGTCACTTGACACATAACATCTTTTCCAAGAGATGCCAAAAGTGTAGTTGGGAAGAGGCAACTTTGAGGCAACTGGCAATTTGTGATTGTTTTGGCAATGATCTACAACCCTAACCCCAACCCTTGTTCCTTGCTTTGATTACACAAGATATTCTTCTCAACCGGATACCCTTGCCACTCCATGAACAACTTAGTCCATAGTATCATCGTGACAACATTGTCAACAGCAATCAGTTCCGCTTCTGTACTGCTTCTGCTGTTTAGCTTTTGTTTCTTCAACATCACTTGAGCTGCACCTCCTCCAAAGGACAGAGTGCCGCCAGTATGGCTCTTGAAATCTGGATGCACCGCAAATGATGCGTCGATCATCCATTTCATGACTTGTAGTGATTCAGCGGAAAGTGTCAGGTGATACAACAATGTACAAAACAACTATCCCATCATACAAACACACTTCTTCCAATCAGACTCTGTAGGCTCTCAAACTCTCGAGGCAAGAATAGTAATCGTTGGATGGATATCCAAACGAGCTCTCTTAGAGACATAAAGTCCCCTTGCAACAGTAGTATGAAAGATGTGACGGTACTCAGCATTGAGTAACTTTCCTTTCCCAGCCTCCAGTAAATCGTTACCAGCTGGTGTTTCCTGCTTTGAATCCTTGTTGAACTTGATAGGAAAATCTTCCAACATGTTCTTGACATAGT